ATATTTAATTACCTTTTGGAACATTTGTTATGATAGGTTTTGGTCTTGACTTAAAAATTAATTTCTTTTTTACGATTGCTGTAACAATATATTCCGTTTTTTTTTCAGAACTATCAATATTATCAATTATTTCATTACTTTTTTTAGTTAAAACTGCAAATGGTTTTGGAAGTTCCATTTCTTTTCCATGTAATACATGAATCCCAATTATAAGTATAGGTGTACCAGATTTTGAAAAGTGTAAGTCTCCGATGTATTTATTTGTGATATCCGCAGATTGAAATTTTAAATCACCTTGTAATTCAATAATAACCCATTCTTCAATTTCTCCATCTCTATAAAATAATAAAAACTCATTATTTGTATCTAGTATTAAAATTGATTAATATTTTTTAATAATAAATAATACTTTTTTATTGGTATGATCATACTAAGTTTTGGCGGTAAGCAGCATTTACACACATGTATGTAATATATAAATGTATAAAGTTACTAGATATTAGATAAAAGCTTAAGTCAAGTTTACAATAAGAATGAATGAACTAATTGTACTTTGTAACAATTATTTATTTCTGTCAGAGAATTAGGTTTAGGTTTAAATTTTAAGGTTTAAAAATATTATCAAAATTATAAAAAGTATTACATAAATAATTTTGTAAACAAGAATATTACAAAATGAAAAGAATGAATTATTATTTTTCTTTTATATAATCAATCAGTTAATTATAATAATATCACATATTTTATATACTTACATATTTTTACATATTTTATGCTGTAAAATTGTACATGCTGAAATATATATATAAGACTAAAATTCTAATTTTAATTTACTTTTATTTCGTTGTTATATATATCATGTCTGAAAAGAGCAATTTATTTTGCAATTATTTGAGTCAAAATTTCAGTTGGTTATCAAAAATTAAATTCTTACAAATTGTTTTTTTAAAAAAGATGTTATGCGCAAAGTAGGAAAATAATTTAATAATTTTGATTATACAATGGTAATAAAATAGATAGTAACATTCTCAATATATATATTTTATATAATTTTACTTGCATGTCAAATAATACATAAGTTCAAAAATGTCTTTCAAAACATTATATTTTTTTAAAAAGATATTCATATGACAATGCAAGTTCATAATTGCAAACATAATATATAGCTATATGTATAGCTGTTTACAATTGGAATAATCATGCAAGAATGTTTTATTTGCATATATATCTATGTGCATTTTGTATATTTACTGCAATGTAGAAAGCATATATAGTATATTTTCATTCAAATATGAAAACAATATAATGGGGTTGTTGTCTTGGTCCTGTGCTTGTACATATAAAAGTGCAGAGGAACAATCCTTTATTTTTAAAATGGATACCCCATTTTTTTCTAGTATTTTTTGATATATTACCTTATATGAGAAAGTGTTATACATTTATTACACATTCTCTTTGTCCGTAACATGTACATCTGCATATGTATATGTAAGAATGTTGCATATTATTAGCAATGAAAACTTACATATGCATGTGTAAGGATGTATATATCTACCAAGTATTGTCCTAACAGGACTTATATGTCATTTTATTACTATAAACATTTGATCTAAATATATTATTATACGACATAGATGTTAGAGGAATTGATTTTAAAATATCAGCAATTGATTGTCATTTAGGACATTACATAGGACCTTCTATCATACTAATTTTCATTGTACAGTAATAAATGCTGCGTCCCAAACACAAAAGTGCCAGGAGAAATGCACCTGAAAATAAAATTAAAAGGAAGCTAAATAAATAATTTATAACTATATATAATATTTTAATAATATTTAAAAATATATTTCCATATATTTGAGATATTCTATATTTCATTGATAATTGAAATTAAAAAGATTTTTCTATTATTATATATTTACCAACATAAGCAACATAAATTCCACCACTAGTTTTCACATATGTATGTGTTCCAACCTGAAAATAAAAAAAATACTAATTATAATCTGTTTTAAAATATATATAAATTATTTCATAATTATTACATAATTTTATCAACATAAAATTATATAAAAATATATACTTACAGTCACAGCTATTGCAATTACTAAGGCTATTATTCCAACAATAATGAATGCAATACCTCGACCCCTAGCAAAATCTGGTCCAACAGAAGATATTTTTCGGCAATGTGGACATCGAGCCAAAGCATTATTCAAGGTATTAAACTAAGAAATGTAATAATATATGTATTAATTGTAATGAAATTATATCAAAATACATAATTTTTTTATTTAATTTCTTACCAAAAATGTATCATGACAGTGAGCACAGCATACCCTACACATTCCAGGCATAGATAAAACAGGTGGTGTAATTGGACTTGGAGCAAGATTAATAATACGTTTACAGTTTGGCCTTGGACAAGCAATACGTTGTGAAGAACTCTTACATATTAATAAACAATTACATGGACAACGAACATATTTCTTCCAGGTGGTGCATTTCTTATGGGCTAAAAAATATTTATTACTCTTAATTTTGATATGAAGTTTTGCAGTGAATTAAATTATTTTGAGAACGTACTGTAGCTTCATTGCATTGACAACATTTGACAACATGTTGATCTCTTTTACCAGAAATATCTATCATAGCCTGACAAACTCTGCAAGTAACCATAGGCATTCCACATTGATTGCTTGATTCATATGGAGGTGGTACTTCATCAGGACCTATTGCAGATACTGTACTGACTGTTGATTCAGCTTCATCTATAGTAGAATGTAATAGGTAACAATAAGCAATCATATTAAACAAACTTAATTCTTTCGTGAATAAGATTATGTATTATTTACCTACGAAATCGCTGCCATGTGAACTATAAGTGACATTTTCGTTTTTTAATAATGGTTGTCGTTCACCCTTCTTCCCGTCTCCCATGTCGATCTATTAATTTACCCTTTAATGACAACAATTTATTTAAAGTATTGTTTGACAGTACTCCCGGTGCTTCGATGACAAGGATGACAAAATAAAAATTTTTCTAAAATCTTCCCTGGTTCTGCCTGCTTATAGAGTAGAAACTATCTGTTGGAATATATATATATATTGTATTATTATATTATAGATCTTTAACGGATTAGTTTAGGAATTCTACAACCACCTCAGCATTTTCATACGTTGGCTACCCTGTACTGAGTTGGCTACTCAATAGTAGTGACGTCCCGTGATAGTACTTAGAGGTTATTTTTCCTTTTTTTTTTGCTTTTCTAACGACAATAAAACTGTTATTAATAAGTGTAGTGATAATGTAAAAATCAAGAATTTTTCAGAATACTAACGCGATATATTTACAAAGCATAAAACCATTCTTATTGTCTACTCTTTCGGCATACTTTAATACAATTTGATCAATTCCACTTTTTAAAACTCACTTTTTTTTATACTATACAAGAGCTTAAATATTACATTGTTGAAGCGAAAATATTTGATCATCGAAAATATATTATCTATATATAAACTATATGTAGATTTATCCGAATGATACTTTCATAATATCGCTAATAAAATATTGCTTTATTTTTGATATACTTTATCTTGTGTATGTGCGTGTATGTTTGTAAACAAGATATATGGAGAGAATAACACATTTATGGAATGTGAATCAATTTATTACAAAATTAAATTGTTCACAAAGTAGAAATTTGCAAACGTTTTATATGTAAGCTATACTTTATTTATTAATTTATTTTAAGAGAATAAATTAAATTAAATGTGAATATAAGTTGAATTTATATGATATTATATTACTTTAGAGAAAAATGTAAAAGATTTAGTCATGGAATACACTTGTCATCTCAAAATTTTGGACCCTCTGTAATGTGTACATATTGTGGATCACTTTGGAATACAATGAATTATACTATTCGAATATCACGAGGTAAACCACTTTCAAAATCCATTAAAAAAATTATACATTCTATGAATAATAGTGAAAAAAGAATACCCAAAGTTCAGAGAACTTTAGTGAAAAAATGTTTAAAAAATAAAATGAATAAATTAATACTTAAATGTTCAGTTTGTTTAAAAAATACTAAAATATCTCTTAATAAACCTCAAAAAGAAAAAGTACAAAAAATTGCTTCAGAAAATATTCAAAGTTCAAAAAAGAAGAAAAAGAAGAGAATAAAAGATAAGACAGCTGGTTTAAACATTTCTGGAATTTTAAGCTTAGATGCAAAAGATGTTACAAAAGAATTAAAAGAAAAAAACAAAGAAGAAATGGAAGACATTACAAATTTGACCACACCAAATCAAAAGTTAAAAAAATTAAATATAAAAAAATTAAAAGATATTGTGAATGAACATGCAACATCTAGAAAAAAAAGGAGTTTACATAGTTTTCTAACAGAACTTTGTTGAAAATAATTTATTGTTAAAGTATCTTATAAAATTT